TACCCATTCGACTTGGACGGTATTGTATTTAGGTATACATTTTTTGTTTAGAGACGAAAAAAGAAAAAGTGCAAAAGTACGGCTAGAAAAGAAAATACACTATTTCGTAAAAATGTTCCTGCTAAGAACAGTTTAGAAAAGTTTTGAATGCTTCATTGATCATATGCTTTAGTTTCGTTGCTTCTCCATTAAATCGCAAGTATTTAGTATATATCGCTATCATCAATGCAAACGGCCGCATTTGGCATTTTTTGGAGTGAAACTTCATTAACGGAGGTAGAAATCGTCACCAAAAAAATGTGACACTTGGGCTGAAACGGAAGTGCAACTTTCTTCCGTCTCTCTCTCTCCTTCCACCTGTATTAATATTAAGAATGATTTACCAGATTGCTGAGCAGCGGTTTGAAGTTGGTACTGACTAAGGTTGAATGGAGATAGACAAAAAAAAAATATTAAGATTTGGGATGAGATTAAGATTAACTGTTAATCCCTTCTAAGGGCGTAGTTTAATTCATATGCATAATTTTATACCAATTGAAATATTCTGAATTAGCATAGTCAAGAAATAAACCGATAGAAGTATCACTTCCGCGGTGTAGCTCAGCCACATAGTATTTTGTTAACACATTCCATTGATTTCATATCAGATGGCCAACCAAAAAAAATTATTTTTATATCTTGAAAAATTGCCTTTTTATTGACCCCTTTACAACCGCCCCTGTTTGTAATTTTAACGAGCTCCTGGAAAATTTGAAGTTCGCCAAATAGTGCATTTCGCTTTGATGACATAAATTTTCATTTGTTTGCTTTTTACTAATTACTTCTGGTGTATATATTTATCAACTAATATTTTATTCCTTCTTCTATATACCCGCTATTTTTTTCTCCTTGCTATTTCCTCTTCCGCTTTTACAAAAATCAATCAACTGATTTCGTTTGTATTTATCGTCAATTCCCGTACTTTGCTTAGAATGGTGGACGTGGGTGGTCAGCGTTCCGAAAGAAGAAAATGGATTCATTGCTTTGAGAATGTGACATCAATCATATTTTTGGTTGCGCTATCGGAGTACGATCAAATTTTGTTCGAATCAGATAATGAGGTAAGTTAAACACAAGTTAATAAATAAATAAGTAGAGAGTGTTCATGGAAGGAAGTATCTTTTCATTCGCAGAATCGCATGGAAGAATCAAAAGCTTTATTTAGGACTATTATTACGTATCCGTGGTTCCAAAATTCATCAGTTATTCTTTTCTTAAACAAGAAAGACTTGCTAGAGGAAAAAATTATGTATTCGCATTTGGTAGATTACTTTCCCGAATATGATGGTGAGTAGTGTACCCTTGCACTTACAAACTTATTTAAGTAGCTGTAAAATATTGCATTCCAATATCTAAGTGGCAATTGAGTTAATTTTGCCCATATATCCTTTATTATATTGACAATTTATGAATAACTAAGGACCGAAATGTGATCACGCTGCCGCTAAACAATTTGTCTTAAAAAAATATCTGGCTGCGAATCCTGACCCAGAACGTCAGTGCTATTCCCATTTCACAACAGCTACAGGTTACACACAAAATATAATTTTCACAATGCTTTCCAGTGCTTGTTGGTGATCTAAGCGCTATTGAGATTCGAGTTAAGCTAGGCACACACTGTATTTTGACTTAGTTTTATGCAATATATACATTTATGTATTTGTATGTACATACATATTTAGCTGAAGTACTTACTATATACGTATGTATGTAGTAGTGTATTGATTTAGAAATGTTATAACAGTATCGCTTGTATGTGCTCTTTTTCCATATTCTTCAACTTAATGCTATTTAGGTCCACAAAGGGATGCGATTGCCGCCCGAGAATTCATACTTCGCATGTTTGTAGACCTTAATCCAGATTCCGAAAAAATCATATATTCTCATTTCACCTGTGCTACGGGTAAGTACATATCGGCACGTATTTAAATAATTGCGAGTAATTGACAGAATTGTATGTACGTATGTATGTATGTGTGTGTGTGTGTGTGTGCGTATCAGAGTGAATAATTTTGAAATATTTTAAGTGAATGATTAGGCAAATGAAAGCGGAGATTTTGATTGAATTGAACAGCGGCGGTATTGACTTTCTTCTCGGACGTGAGGTAATCAATTATTTAAATCATAAAAATCACGGTAATGATGCGCTATTTTGCTTTTAAACTGTAATGCTTCTGTAGTATAAAGCCTGTAGTTGATGGATATGTAAGCTCACTTGCTAGACTTTGGAACGGTCTAATGTTGTTGCCGTTTAGTTTTGAGTTATCTTGGATATTCTATTAAATAATTAATTAAAATATTTAAATCTGTACCCAAATATGCGCACACCTTTTGGATTCTGCGACATCGTACTTCGCGAAATTTCGAACAGATACTGAAAACATTAAACTAGTGTTCTGCGCTGTAAAGGATACCATAATGCAAAATGCTCTAAAGGAATTCAATCTGGGTTAAATGGTCATCGTTAATTGACGACTAACCGAAATTGGACTAAACACGCTTCATGTGTTGCGCATCTAATTATCTACATAATTGCCTCTACCCATCGCACCGTCTTGTATTTGCTTCGCTACTTAATACATACGTACATATTACGATTTTAACA